GGGCCCCATTGATGCTTTTCTCTCTCTCTCTGACACACACACACACAGAGCCTGCCCCCCCCGGGCGAGCCTGGACACCCCAGTCTGTGAAATGCAGTTGTCAGGACGCAGGCATGGGCTAGGTGCGGCCAGCAGAGGGCCCCACTGGCCATGGATTGTGGGCCCTCCCCCCAGCAAACACCTTGAGATCCCTGTGCTCCATGGGCCGGGGGTGGGAGCAAAATAGGAGAAAGGAGTCGGGAGGGGTTTGTGGTGCCCCTCACTCCCAACCCGCAGCCCCCTGCTGTCCCAGCCCTGAGCCCCCCCCCAGCTCAGCTGGTGCCCCTCACTCCCAACCCGCAGCCCCCTGCTGTCCCAGCCCTGAGCTCCCCCCACCGCAGACAGCTGTGACAATGCACCTTGAGGAAGGGGCCTGGGAGTTAGCTCTCCCCCTGGGTTCTATTCCCAGTTCCAGGAGGGGAGAGGGGTCTAGTGCTTACACTGCGGGGGCTGGGAGTCCTGGACTCCTGGGTTCTGCTACCACCTTTGCCACTGACTCACTGGGTGACCTTGGGCAAATGACTTTCCCCACTCTGTGCCTCAGTTTCCCCAGGGAGATGACACCAATCCCTCTCCTGGGAGCGCAGGGAAGGCATTTGGCAGTGGAAGCCCTGAGTGGGAGGGGAGCGGCCCTGGGTCTCCACCCCCGAGTGCAGAGGTAAGAAGGGGTTTCTCAGAAAAACCCTTGAGGTTGTAATGTGGAAAGAGCGCAACAGGCCCCACTTCCCCAAATTGCTGCGGGAGGATGGGCAGACGACGCAAACAGCTCGATAAGGGAGGTGAAAAGGTCCCTGTGACATGATGCCACCAGCCTGGGAGGTCACAGGCCGGGCAGGTCGTGCCCTAAACCACCCCAACTCTCTCCTTGTTTATTTACTATCTGTGAAATGGGCACATCTGCAACCAGCCCCATTGTACCAGGCTCTGCACAGACCGCAAGCAAGATCAGGGCCCCATTGTGCCAGATGCTGCCAGACCCTGACCGAGATCGGGGCCCCCTTGTGCCAGGCGTTGCACAGACACAGAATGAGCGACAGTCCTTGCCCCAAAGAGCTTACAAACTAAATATACAGAAGGTGGGAGGGGAAACTGAGGCACCAATGAGGGAAAGGGCCTTGCTCAGAGTCAGGAAGCACATTGGGGGCAGAGCTGGGAATAGAACCCAGAAGTCCCAGTCTCGGCTGAAGCCCTAGTCACTAAGCCAAGCTGCCACCCTGCCAATCTTCCCACCCACTTTTTAAAAGACCCTTTACCTCTTTCTTGCACAGAATTTCTAAACCCAGCAGAATCCAGTTCGCCTGCTCAGAGGCCCATGCGCAGGGTCGCTCCTTCCGTCAAAGAGGGGGGCTTAAAGAGGGGGGGCTTTAAGAGGGGGGTCCAGCTGAGCTCTAATGCAGAGAGGTACAGGGAGGCGGGAGCTGCATGCAGTGGAGAAGGCTCTTGATCCCAGAGGGCAGAGCTGCATTAATGTCCAGGGGCTCTAGACCTGTGTTGAGGGCCTAGCTCCCAGTGTCACCATGAGGCTCAGAGAGGGATGTGACACTGACACAGAGATGCTGCCTGAGTCAGATGAGAGCCTAAGCCCATTGCTCCCAGCAGGGGGGAGCTGCCCTGTAGCAACTCAGTGAGGTGTTGACTCTGAGCCCCACAGCTCTGGTGGCCCTGTGTGGGGCAGGAGGGGGAGAGCCAAGGGATCATCTCCCAAGCAGAGACAGCCTGGCTGTGTCGGGAAGTCTGGGGGACCCCACTGCTACCACCAATGTCTCTCTGGGAGTGGAGGTGGGGACAGTGGGGGTGAGGTCAGAGGGGAGCTGGGTCCTTATGGGGCATGGGGAGATCTGTCGGGGGGCTGTATGGGAGGAGCTCTCCCTGCCACACACCACCCTCACTCTGCGGGCATCCAGAAGGCAAAAGGCTACAGGCAGGGCCAGCCCCAAGGGCTGGGCACCTGCTGCCTGCCGCATGGTCTGTGCCTGGCAGGGATCATGCCCTGGGCGGGGGTGGGGCTGTCACATGGCTCATTGTGGCAGCAGGGACATGGGCCAGAGGAGCCACAACGGGCCGAATTTGGGGAACGAATCACTTCCCCTTTTCTACCCGCTTGACCTCTGGCAGGGCCTGTGTGTGCAGGGGGCACAGTTCTGCCAGTGCCCCTCACTCCCGACCCGCAGCCCCCTGCTATCCCACCCTGGGCTCCCCCCAGCTCTGCCAGTGGCCCTCAGTCCCAATATGCAGCCCCAGAGCAGGGGGACTGGGAGTCAGGACTCCTGGGTTCTATTCCTGGCTCTGCCCTGACTCGCTGGGAGAGTTCTGGTTCGGTTTCCCGCTCTGCCTCGTGGGGATAAGGATCTCGGCCCTTTCCCCAGCATGGGGTCGGGGAGGGGGTGTGTGAGGCTGGTCCCTGCGGGCCGCCTAGTGCTCAGAGAGCCTGGTAGGGCTCTGATCTCACAGCTCTGCCCCCCCTTCCCCAGCACTAATCAGGGCTCACACATGGCCTGGTGCGACAGGAGCTGCAGATTAGGGCCCAGCAGCCCCTAACTGCCATCAGCCGCAGGAGCTGGGGGAGCTGGTGGGGGGGTCGGAGCAGCTAATGGGGGGGACGGACACCTGATCCCAGCTCCCCACCTCTGTGCAGCCATCGCCCTGGGGCTGGGATCTCCCCCCCCCACACAGACCTTTTGGGAGGCTGCAGGCTCCGTGGCCTGGTCTTGGGGGCGGGGGTTAGAACTGACTGGGCTGAGGCCTGGCGAGCTCGTCTCACGCAGGGGTCAGGCCATGGCTGCTGGGCAGGGAGGGAGCGAGGGCCTGGGGGAAACACTCAGTGCTCCTCCCCCCGGCTCATCTGCCCCCCTTCTCTGTGCCCAGTGGGGCAGGGGGAGAGATGCAATGGCTTCTGGGATCAGGGGTGAGAGCGAGGCTGGGGGTAGGCAGAGGGGACCCCCAGGGGAGGCGGGGGAGGGGGCTCCCCACTGCACTGGCAATCGGGTATGTTGTTCCCCCCGCACCTGGCAACCCCTGGGGCAGCCGGGTGGGTCAAAGCCCATCACCGAACTCCCAGAGGCCAAGGCGCCCCCAGACTCAGACCCAGGATTTGGGGACATGAAGCTGACCCAATCCCTCCCCCGCTCCAGGTTATTCCCGTCCTGGGCCCCATCCCAGCTCTTTGGTGCCCCTCAATCCCGACCTGCAGCCCTGTTCTAGCCCAGCCTTCGCTCCCCTGCCCAACGGGGACTGCCTCCCCCATGTCTCAGCTGGAAAGGTCCCCGCTGCTGGAGCCGGGGTAGATCCTGGGGCTTTATCTCCAGCTCTGCCCCGGTATCAGGGCTGGGGCAGGTGGCCGAGCCGCTCTGGGGCAGTCCGATAAAGCTCAGGCGGATGGTGATCTACGTCCTCGTACTTCCCTGAGAGCGGCAGGCCGGGTATCTGGAAAGGGGGGTTGTCTCTGCAGGGAAGACCTGGCTCGAGGGGGGGCAATGGGGAGACAGAGCCACCAGGGAACAGGAGAGAGTAAATAGCTGCTTCAGATAATCAGGATCAGAACCCAGGAGTCCTGGCTCCCAGCCCCCCCTACTCTAACCACTAGACTGTACTCCCTCCCTCGGCTGGGGTCAGGAGGGTGCGGTTCCCTGAATCTTGTTTTGTTTCTCAGGAAATTCTCAGCATTTCTGGTTCCTTGTTTCCTTTCATGAAATTCGAAAGGGGCCGAGGCCGGAAGAGAGAAAATAGTGCCATATAAAAATCCAGGACCAGCAGGGTTGGGGGGCAGAGAGTGAGAAATGGGACTCCCGGGTTCTCTCCCTAGCACGGGGTGGGCAGTGGGGTCTAGTGGTTAGAGCAGGGGGCTTGGGAGGCGGGACTCCTGGGTTCTCTCCCTAGCTCAGGGTGGGCAGTGGGGTCTAGTGGTTAGAGCAGGGGGCTTGGGAGCTGGGACTCCTGGGTTCTCTCCCTAGCTCGGGGTGGGCAGTGGGGTCTAGTGGTTAGAGCAGGGGGCTTGGGAGCTGGGACTCCTGGGTTCTCTCCCTAGCTCGGGGTGGGCAGTGGGGTCTAGTGCTTAGAGCAGGGGGCTTGGTAGGCAGGACTCCTGGGTCTCTCCCTAGCTCTGCCCCCATTCACTGTGTGACCTGCTCTGGGCCTCGTTTCACCCACTAGAACCTGTTTGTGGGCAAGACAATGATTTGTATTTAGGTGGCACCTTCCATCCCCCAGATCTCCTGTGATTCCTACAGCCTCCTTCCCACCTGGAGGCCCCGGCCTTGTGCTGCGGTGAGGGAGGTGCCTCGCCTCCGACCAGTCAACCTTGAACCTTCTATGCTGCTCTGGTCGCTGGGCCCGTATCAGTACCCCCCATTTCACAGGGAGTGAAACTGAGGCACAAAGGTGGGAGGGGGGGACTGAGACTTGGCCGAAGGCACCCAGCAGGTGAGTGGCCGGGGGAGGAATATTATGTAGAACCTCTGACTCCCAGCCCCCCCTGCCCTAACGACTAGACTCCACTCCCTCCCATAGCTGGGGGGAGTCCCGACTCCCTGACAGGGTCTATCTGCCCCCCCAGCGGGAGGGGGCTGCCAAGTGGCATCAATCATCCCCCCCATGGGCAACAGCGGCAGCTACTGATGGGCCCACGGGAGGCACCTGGGGGCTGAGTCTAGCAGGTGCCAAGCCCTAGGCCTCTGCCCCCCCCATAAATCAGCCCCTGAGTGGGGCAGAAACTGCAGCTGCTTTGAGATCCCTGGGTGGGGCGGGGCGGGATCGTTTCCCAGCCCTAAGCCACCTGGGACCCCCCCCCATGCACTTAGAGTGAAATTATCCAAGTCCCTAGCTAGCCCCCCCTCCATACCTGATGGGCCACACCCCTCATTCTGATTGGCCTAGAGGCTCCCCTTATCACCTTAGTAAGCCAATGAGAGGGGAGCGGGAAAGAGGGAAATGTAGCGTTTGAAGGGAGGGGGGAAGCTCTGCTCAGAAAGTGGCTCGAGGGAGCCAACAGCTGGGGGGGGGTGAAGGAGAGGCGAGCACGTGAGGGGGGCCAGGTGCGTGGAGGGGAAGGAGTTGGAAGGTTGGTCCCCCCCTCCCGGCCCTTGGGCTCTGATCTTCCACCCTCCCTCACCCTGACCTGGCTCCGGATTGGGGCCCGGCTGGCCATGGCATTCGCCGATGCCGTCCTGCCCTCCATCAGCAGCCTGGCCGGCTTCTGCCACTTCCAGGAGAAGCAGTCGGAGATTCTCAAGGTAAGGGGGGGCTGGGGGGTGCCCTGGCTGCCTGCCTGCCGCAGCGTGTGTGGTGTCCCTCCTCTGTGGCGCGAAGGCGCAGCCCTGCGGCTCCCCAGAGGTGGCTGCATTTCCAGGCTCCGTGTTCTTGGGGGCAGGGAGGTTTGGGAGCTCGGTTGGCAGGGAATGGGTTGGGGGGGGGAGGACTGTACCCTGCCCCCCAACCCCGCCGCAGCTCTGCTGAATTGCATGGGCCCAGCAATGGAGGCAGAGTCCTGCTCTGAGCCCATGAGGGCCCTGGGGTAAGACAGACGGCAGGCAGGAGGCACCTGGTTGCTAGAGGAGGGGGTGGGGAGCCCCTTCCCTAGGGGGAGGCTTCACTGGGTGGGTGGGGTCCTGCTAAGCCATGGGGCTGTGGGGGCAGGATGCCTGGGTTGCATTCCTAGCTCGGGGGGGAGGAATCCCAGAGCTTGCCTTAAAGGAGCTTCCAGCTGATGGTGCCCCTCAATCCCTGCAGTGCCCCCCCACTATCCAACCCTGGGGGTCCCTGCAGCTCTGCCAGTGCCCCTCAATCCTGACCTGCAGCCCCCTGCTAGCCCAGCCCTATCTAGTCAGCTGAGCCTCTGATCTGGGGTTTTTGCTGAGCCTGGAGGGGGGCTGGGCTGAGAGCAGACAAACTCACTTCACTTGCGAGATGAATGTGCACCCGGAGGGGGCCCCCACCTCTCCTTTAACATATCCTGCCTGCGAGCCCCATCCTGGGGCGCTCTCCCCTCCGGGCTCTGCCAGGCGGCCGGGATGGCCCCGTCCCTCTCCTTGGCCAGCAGCTGGTGCGGGGTCCTGATAACAGGTTCTCTTATCTCTGGGTCCCAGCACGGCAGTGTTGGAGCCAGTCCCATGGGCCGTGCTCCCAGCCCCACAGGGTGATGGGGGCTGGGCTGGGGGGAGGTTTGTGGCCAGTTGGGGCTGGCTGCTCTCTGGAATTTCGCTCAGTAAAACAAAATTTAGCTGGAAAAGGGGGGTGCTTAATGTATATGTGGGCTGAGGTTAGAACCCAGGAGTCCGGGCTCCCATCCCCCTGCTCTAACCACTAGCCCCCACTCCCCTCCCAGAGCTAGGGATGGAACCAGGGAGTCCTGGCTCTAACCACTAGTCCGTTCTCCTAATGTCTCCTCTGGCCTGATGCTGCCTGTTGGTTTCCTCTCTAGTGGTGGAAGGTGGAGGAAGATGACCCGGACCCCCCAGTGCCCAGCCCCATGGACCTGCCCAAGCCCCATGGCTCCCTGCAGCTCAAGCAAGAGGATGAGGAATCCTGCTGGGACCTAGACTTCCTGCTCAGCAATTTCCCCAGCACGGAGGCCGGTGGCCCCGGCCCAGGCAGGGGGTTCGAGGCAGGGCTTGGGCTGTGCCAGCCAGAGGGCTATGAGGGGCAGAGCCCAGGCGGGTACACATCGGGGGATGGGCTCCCGGGCCCCACCAGCCTGGTGGCTGAGCTCCTGTCGGGGGACGAGCCCCTGGGCTGCAGCTCGGTGCCTCCCGGCTATGCCCGCGGGCAAGAAAAGGGGGGAGCGGGCACCTTTGTGGCCCATCTGCCGGCATACCCCTCCAGGCCGGACTGTGAGGCCCAGCCCCCTGGCGAATACAGGGATCCCCGGCCCGTGGCCCTGCGGCATGGCTACCAGCTGACGTACGGGGGCTATGCCCCGCTGGCCCCCACCCTGCTGGCCCGGGGCGCCCCCTACTGCCAGCTGCCCCCCTACGGTCTGGGGGGCAGCTGCCAGGCCTTCTGTCACAGCCAGTACCAAGCCCGGTTCCAGCTGTACCGGGGCAGCCCAGCTCTGCTGCCCTCCCCAGCCCCTGCGGGCTACCTCGGCCTCCTGGCGCCGCCCCACCCGCTGGCCGGGGAGCTCCCAGCCAAGCCCAAGAGGAGCCGCAAAGCCTGTGCCCACAAGCGCCCCACCAGCCACACCTGCAGCCACCCCAGCTGTGGCAAGACCTACACTAAGAGCTCCCACCTCAAGGCCCATCTCCGCACCCACACAGGTGAGGGGGTGAGTGCTGGGGGGGCCCTCTGACTGCACAGCCTGCACTGGCGGGGGTGGGGGAGGGCTCTGATCTTGTTGTTAGGGCATTAGGGGGTGGCTTGGTGGGAGGCTGTGGGGGCAATGCTGTGGGGAGTAGAGGTTTGGGGTGGTGCTGTGGGGAGGATTTGGGAGGGGGTCAGGAGGGGGGCACTGCACTGTGGGGGAGTGTCGGGGGCACTGTGCTGCAGGGAGCAGGGGAAGCTCTGGGGGGGGACACTGCATTGTGGGGGGCACCAGGCTGTGGGATGGGAGGGCCTCGTGATGCAGGAGGTGTTGGCTGTCTGAGACGTGAAAGGTCCCGTCCATTTTGGGTTGTGGAAAATGCCGGAGCGCTGATGCCCTGGGCTCTGGTCCTTGCATCCCGACCAGGCCCTGAGCCTGGGGCTTTCGGTCGGCCTCCCTGCACTTCCCCCGCAGTAGGTACAAGTGCTGTCACTTCCTGTCCTAAATGTTTGATGGGGGTTACTGTGTGGCTGCTAAACAGCCCGTGCGTTCCACCCCAGAGGTGGCTGCATCTCCGTGCTGGATCCCTGTATAGCCAGCCGTCGGGCTCCACCCCAGAGGTGGCTGCATCTCCGTGCTGGATCCCTGTATAGCCAGCCGTCGGGCTCCACCCCAGAGGTGGCTGCATCTCCGTGCTGGATCCCTGTATAACCAGCTGTCGGGCTCCACCCCAGAGGTGGCTGCGGGGGCTAGGGCGGGCCGGCTGGGCTGGGGTGACATTCCCTCTGTCCCTGGCAGGCGAGAAGCCGTACCACTGCACCTGGGAGGGCTGCGGCTGGAAGTTCGCCCGCTCGGACGAGCTGACGCGCCACTACCGGAAGCACACAGGGCAGCGCCCATTCCAGTGCCGGCTGTGCCAACGAGCCTTCTCCCGCTCCGACCACCTGGCCCTGCACATGAAGAGACACGCGTAGGGGCCGCGGCCGCGCCGTGCCCCGCTCTGCCGGCGCCACGGACTGGTAGCGAGCCGTTTCAGCAGGTTCTGTTCTTGTCTTTCCCCCTCAGCAGCGACAAGCAGCAAGTGCCTCCTTGTTAAATGTCAGAAGGGGGAAGAGCTACTCTGGCGTTATAAACTGCAGGAGACGGGGTCCAGCATCTTTCCCCTCCAGGGGGTGCCGGCTTCGCTTTGCTGCTGGCGTGGGGAACGGGCTGGTTCAGGGGCTGGGGACTGGGACATGAGGCCTTTCCCCTCTAGAGGGTGCTGGCTCTGACTTCAATGATTAAAGAACCAGATGTAGTTTCCAGCTCCATGAAATGAGTTTGAGAGCTCCTGCCACCCTCTGGGTAGGGGTGGGGATTGGGCCAGGCCCATGGGAGAAGGGTGAGGAGAAGCAGGGGGTGGGGGCGGGAGACTTCTCTGAATGAACTGACTCCATTCAGAACAGCTGCTGGTCCTGGCCTCATCTCACAGTGGTGGCAACCAGACCTCACTGCTCAGCATACACAAATTGTGGGGGTCTTTGAAGGATTAAATTTACCCTGTGAGTAACTCTTTGCAGCTTTGGGGACCCAGTTCTTCTCTCTCCATCCATCAGTTCTGGTCGCAGGCATCCGAATTACAGAAATTCTTTGTTTTCAGTGTGTTTCTCCCCCCGTGCAGTGTCTCTCATGCCCCATACTGTTATCAGTGAATGGGGATTCCTCTTGCTGTGTCTTCTATGCAGAATCTACACCCCACTGTGTTTGAACCTCTCTAAGCCAGGAGAGGATTGAATGAAGTTATTCCTTCTCCCCTGGCTCTTTGAAAGTGTGTCCTGGTGGATTGAAAAGTAAGAGCTGCAAGGGACGACTCTGCGGAAGTATCACAGAAACGCTTACCCAGCTTGTGACCTCTGTCAGGCTGGGTGCTGCACAGTGAGGGCCAGCTCCTGCTCTACATTGCCTCAGTTTCCCCTTCACCTTGTGTCTCTGAATGTGAAAGGGACTTGCCCTAGCTCAGAGAGCGGGTCTGTGGCCGAGTCGGGAGGAGAACCTAGGAGTCCTGACTCCTGGTAGGGGGCCCTGGCCATTCAGCCAGGTTGCCTCCCCGAGCCTAGTGAATAAGAGTGGATTTTGTTTAATGACTGCAGGAGGGTCAGTGCCCAGCCCAAGGGGTCCCGGCCTGGGATTAGGGCCCCTGGCTGCTACTGTAATGCACCTAATAAATCATGTACAGTGCCCAGCACAAGGGGGTCCTGAGCACTACCGTAATGTACCTAATAAATTGTGTACAGTGCCCGGCACAATGCAGTCCTGATTTATGACTGGGGCTCCTGGGTGCTATGGTAGGTCCCTTTCCACAAGTGGCTTCTACCCTGAATTCCCAACCTACCATTTTAACTGAAACATCATAACCTCCCTGCGACCTGTTCTCCTGCCAGCGGTCAGAGAGGCTCTCTGGCTATATATAAGCCCCACCAGCGGAGAGGTAGGTTTCAGAGCCCCAGGGGAAGGCAGTGCCTACTGCCACGCTTGTCTCAGGTCAGGAAAAGACCCCACGTTTTCCCTGCTGTATTAATGAAAAATAACCCTACGGGCTACACCTGTCCCAGCCGTGAGTCTTTCCAGGCCTCGGCCCTGGCGGGTGGAGCCAGCCCTTCACTTGGTGCGTTTTGCCTTCACGTACTTTAAAAAAAAGAATTAAAAATAAATCTCGGAGCCTATTGAAAGGGATTGGGGTTCAGAGGGTGAGCAGGCTGTCATGCAGAGCCTTTGAACAGAGGGGGTTTAGTTCCCTCTGCCAGGAGATCTCGAAGTGGGACCTCAGGCTATCAAAAGACAGTGCTAGGGCTGGAGGATCCTCCATCAGGATCTTTCTCTTCTCCCCGCCTTGTAATGCGAGCTCAGGGGCAGGGAGCAGTAGCAAATTCAAATCCAATCCAAGGAATGATACCCACGTGGTTAGCCAATGGAACTCGCTGCTACTGGATGGTGCTGAGACCAGGGCCTCAGGAAGAGGGCTGGGAGGGTGATCTGGACACTGAAACTAGACAAGGTAGCATGAATGCTGATGACAATTCAGGAAGGGGTATTAACCTCGTATGTCGATGTGCCAGGGCTGAAGGTGATCTTCAGCAGAGCGCACAGTGTGACCTACGGCTGCAGGGGGTCTTACATCTTCCCCTGTGGCAGCAGATGCTGAGCTAGATGGGCCTCTGGTCTGACCCCACCTAGCAGGCCCAGTTCCTCCTCTAATTGCAAATGAGTGTTTTCCAAACAGTGTGGCTGGGTTCTCTGGGGGGCCCAGCAGGGGGGCCCGCAAGGGCCCCGATCCAGGGATCGAATCAATTACCTTTTTACCAGCAGAAACAGGCATCTGGGGGAGGACTGAGTAGGGTCGCTGCTCCCCCTGGTGGTGTGAAGGTGCAGCTGCAGCGTCACCCTTCAGCCTGCCTGGTTTAGGGGGTCATCTTGCAGGAAAGCACCCCAAATCCAGCCCTACCCCCAGCCGCTTCCGTGCCAAGCTGAGTTGGCCTGCGGATCTGGGAGCGTGTGGCCGACACATCTGTGAAACACGAAGGGACGCGTGCCCTTTCCAGCAGTGGAGGGGTCAGAGAAGAGCCATAGGATTTGATTAAAGGGGTAGGAGACAAACCTACAAACCTCAGGCTGCCCCCCGGGCTCCTGGGGGGGAGGTCAGTGCCTGGAGCCCGGACAGCTGCTGGGCTCCCAACGGGGAGCTGGGAGCGGGGTTGGGAGCTGGGAGCCGGGACCCCAGGGGCAGCAGGGCTCCCAGCAGGTAGTGGGGAGCTGGGGCAGCAGTTCAGCTAGAAGCAGGAGCCCAGGGGGGCAGCCGGGCTCCAGCTGGAGCTTCCCACCCACCCCTGGGGTTCACCGCAGGGAACCTACCACCAGCCTTTCTCCTCAATTTCAGGGCTGTAACCCAGGAGCTGTGAAATTGACAAGAAGGGCAGCCAGCGGCCCCTGTAAGTAATGCAGGGTCCGCAGGGACACCGTCACCCTAACTGCACTGACATTAGCCCTACGCCTCTCCCGGAGGGGGAGTAATGATCTCGGGGCAGCCGGGCACCGGCATCGGCGGGAGCACGGCCGTAGTGTGGACGCTGACGTAGTAAGCTGCCCTACCTCAATCTAGCATTGGACTGGCCTTGTCTACACTTGCAAGTTAAAGCGCATTAAATCAGCCCCGGGCACGCAAATAGCTCCCTGGATTTTGGATAACGCAGAGAAGGGGAAGTGTTGGCTCAGTCCCAGGCTGAACGTACTGCCATGGGGAACAACTTGGTAATCGTGGGGTCTTCAGGCGAGCAGAGGAAGGACGACCATGAACCAACGGCTGGAAGCTGAAGCTAGGCAAAATGAGGCTGGAAATAAGGTGTGAATGTTCAGGGTGTGAGAATTACCCACTGGGGCAGGTCACTGAGGGGCGTGGTGGATTCTCCGTCACTTTGACAGCTTGTCTAGCTGGCCGATTTTTCCAGGAGAACCGCACGAGTTCAGACAGGGATTAATTGGGGGACGGCTGATGGCCTGAGTCATGCAAGGGAATCGGCACATGGGGCCTTGCAGCAATGGGAGCGGGCGGGGCGTCGAGTGCCCTGGGGAACGCCAGCTCTTCACGAGAGCTCAGCTCGGCCTCAGCTGCACCGAGGCTGCCCCTGCTCAGGGAAGAGTCTGAAGTCTCTCAAAGAGATTGAGAACCCTGGTGTCAGGCGCTGCTGAGACCCCGACTGAGATCAGGGTCCCCTTGTGCCAGGTGCTGCCCAGACCCTTCACCTGAGATCAGGGCCCGCACTGGGCCAGGCGCTGCACAGACCCTGACTGTGGTGCAGTCCCTACCCCGAAGAGCTCACACGCTGAATAGACACAGGGTGTGGAGGGGAAACTGAGGCACAGCGCGGGGACGCAAGATGCCCAAGGTCAGAGGTAGAGTTTGGGAACAGAGCCCGGGCGTCCAGACTCCCAGTTGAATGCTGAAGCCTTTGGGCCAGGCTGCCATGCTCAGACTAGGCAGGGGGGGAGAGCGCCCTCTGCTGTGTCCTCTGGGGACAGTCACCCCAAGGCCAAGGGGTTGCCCTGCCCCTCCTCCCTCCGGTGGGGGCTGGTGAACTGGCTGCCACCCCAGTCTGGGGAAGGGGATGCCCAGTAGCCATGGTTACAGGGACCTCCCACACACACATTCCCAGCTCTCTCCCAGGCCTGGGGGGGGTTATGGAGATACAGCCCCCCCCCCCAACCCTTGTGTTGTATCCCATGTGTTCCAGCTGGTTGCTAAGCAACATGTGGTATGGCGATGCCCGGTTACGGTTGCCAATGTGGGGTGGTTACCGGCCCAGTCGGGGAGGAGGGGCTGTGTCACATAAGATCCCCCCCCCATAAGAGAAGGATGGATGCTGTGTGAGTGCAGCCTGCTATGGGTCTGACTTCCAGTACTGCTGCCCCCTGTAGGGGGATTCCCCATCCGCTCAGGTGTCCTGTCCTGGCTGCTGCGTAGTGGGGGGGTGACCGGGGGAGGGGGAGCGCTCAGCCCTGGCTTTTCTGGCTGTGTCAGGCATTGCTCCCCCCCCCACCGCTGTGCCATAGACCAGCCAGGGCCTGTCCCTCCCCTTCACTCCCAGCCACTCCGCAGGCCCTCCTCTTTGGGGAGAGAGGGCTCCCCTCCGAGATCCACCCCCCCCGTCCATTCCCCTCAGCCCCCCCCCCCGGGAGCCCTCCCCAGGCCTTATTCTGTATGGGGACCTCTGTAACGACGGGTGCGGGGGGGCAGCATGTGGGGCTGAGCGGACCTAGGTGCCGGAGCGGCGGTGGGTGGGCGCGTGGGGCACCCCCTCGGGGGGGGGGAGACTGGCTGGCGCCAGGGGGGCCCTGACGCCCGCTGCGCTGCAGGAGCGTGGCGGAGGAGAACGCCCGGCTGCAGGAGCTCATTGCGGAGGAGCTGGCCCAGGCCGAGCGCTGGCAGGGGCACTATGAGGGGCTGCTGGGGCGCCAGGCCCGGCTCCGTGCCCTGCTGCAGGCCCAGAGGTGAGACCCCCCCCCACCAGGTGTAGGGGGGGCCAGGCAGGGAACCTTGGCGGAGGAGGTGCGTGGGGGTGGAGCCTGTGCTGTGGTCCCTGGGGGGCAGGGAGGGCCATGCCCTGGGCATGCCCCTCCCCCCCGCCTGATGCCCCCTTGTCCCCGCAGCCTGGAGTCGCTGGAGCAGGCCACCCGGGTGCTGCGGGAGGAGCTGGAGGAGGCTCAGGGCGCCTTGCGGGAGTGGCAAGAGCAGAACCACCAGCGCCACATCCCCCAGTGGGTGAGAGCGCCACGGCAACCGGCGTCACGGCAACCGGCGCCACGGCACCATGGGGACCAGCGCCATAGCAACCACGGGCCGGATTGGATGCCCCGCCCCCCCGAGCCAGCCAGGCCCCTGCCCTGGGGCTGGATTGGCACTGGTGCCCCCTAGGGGGCCAGGTCGCATGTGTCATTCCCGCGAGCCATCTGGTCCTCCTGGACAGGCCAGCAGCAGGGGGATGTGGCTTCAGACTGGCGAGCGGGGTAGTGGCTGGGCAGGGTTGGTGGGGGGGTCTGCATGGAGGCAAAGGCTGGGCTTGGCAGGAGGCTTAGCACGGGGCTAGGAGCCAGGTCCCCCGCCCCCAAGGGTTCAGCCCGCCCGCGCCCTGCTTTGCAACAGCAATTTCCCCTCATTGCCCGGCAGGAAAAAGAAAACCAGAGACTGGCTGAGACCATCCAAGAGCTGGAGGGAAAGGTGGGTCTGGGGGGTGGCGGCGGTCAGGACTGGGGTTCTGTCCCCAGCTCTGTCACTGTCTGTGTGACCTTGGGCCTCAGTTTCCCCATATGGCCTTTGAGGTGCTCTGGGATCCACATCCGGATAGGGTCATTGTCCACAACTGGGGGCCTCCATTCCTTGCGAGCGGGCGCCCTGCAGGTCCCACCCAGTCCTTCCCACTGCCATTATCCCCACCACCACCCGTGTGCTCACTGCCTGCCGCTCCCCACACAGGTCTCCAAGCAGAGAGAGTGGGAGAAGACCCACAAGCAGGCCCTGCAGCAGCTGCGGGTGCAGGAGGACGAGCTGCAGGTGAACTGGGGGGTGGAGGGGGAAGGTCTGAGGCTGGGGTGTGTCACTGAGTATGCGGGACAGCTGGGCAGAGACCGACTCCCCCGTGGACTCCTGGGGCAGGGAGAGGCAGGGAGAGCCGCTCCTCATACACACCAGCCCCCCACCCCATGATGCTCCCCCTGCACCCCCAGAGTGAGGGCAGCTGGGGCACCAACAAAGAGACCCCCGCGCAGCTTGCCTCCTTCTCAGATCCCATCTAGGGAAACTGAGTCACAGAGGTGTGTTCCGTCCGGGTGGGACGATGGCTTCTGAACCATGGACGTCCACCCAGCCTGGGTCTACTGGGGAATCCAGACCCTACAGGAACTATTCCTGAGACACAAGGGAGTGTCTTGGGGGGTCTCTGACAACCCTTCTCCCCAGCCATGGGCAGCAGCTCCTGTTGTGGGCGAGGGGAGTGGGGAACCCAACTGTTGGACAGGGGCTAAGGGAAACCCTGTGTTTTTCCTCTCCCACCAGAGGCACCTGTGGGACATGGAGGCCAAACGTCGGGCCAAGGCTGACAGGATCCGGGAGGTAAGGCCAGGCCCCAGCTCCGGGTCTCAGCACAGGCCCCTCACTCCTGACCCACAGACCCCTGCTAGCCCAGCCCCTCTAGTCAGTTCATGCCTTCCCTGGAAGTCTCCTATTGCTTGGTTTGAGCAGGGGCATGACAGGCTCACAGGGTTTTCCAGATGGGATGGGACCAAAGAATTCCCTCACATCTTGGGCCAAGGGGCTGATCTCCTGGCCCTGCCCCCTCCTCCCTCCCCCAGCCCCAGTCAGCCCCCCTGCATCCTCCTCCCTCAACCTGTGCTCCCGTCACCTCCTCACAATCACACACCCCAGCCTGTGCTCCCTAGAACCCCCCCCAACCTTCCCCCTCTGCGCCCTGTTCCCCCCCCAGCCTGCGGTCCCCAGACCCATCCAGCTTTTCCCAGGGGCGCCCCTTTGTGGCGGTGGCTAGCTGGGGAGATCTGTGGGCTCAGGCCCAGCCCGGATGCCCCAGTGTTTTGTAGCTCTGAGGTGGCTGCCCCCACCCACAGCCTGGTCTGCACCCACCCCGCAGGGGTTGCCAGAGATCACCACAGCTCTCTGGTTGGTTTCACGGGCTGTAATTAACGAGCTGTGCCCTTCTGGGCCCAGAACCAAAGCCACATTCCTGTCTGGGGGCGGGGGTGGGTTTAGAAGCAGCGACACATGGAAGAGCTGAGTGGGACCATCCAGGGACTTTCTCGAAGAACCCAGGTACGTCCTGTCCTGTCCTGTCCCACCCCCGGGATTGAACCCAGCTGGGTTTCAGGGAGCTTCATTTGGGTCAGAGCAATCCGCCTTATCCTGCAGGGCCCAGATCCTTCCTAGGCTCCTAACTTCCCCTGATTTTGGTGGAGGATCCTGAGCCTGGGAAAGCAGCTGGTTCCATGCTTTCAAAACCCAAATTCCTTCCTCTGCCAGAGAGAGTGGTCCTCCAGTGAGTGTGGGCTGGGCTGGGGACACTGGGGCCCTGTTCCCTGATGGGAGACCTTGGGCACAAGGGGGCCTTGATCTCAGTCGGGGTCTGGGCAGCGCCCGGCACAAGGGGGCCCTGATCTCAGTTGGGGTCTGGGCAGCACCGGGCACAAAGGGGCCCTGATCTCAGTCGGGATCTGGGCAGCGCCCGATTTCAGTGGGACCATCTCACCATAGAACCGTTAGCCTCTGGGTTGCCAGTGCGAATCCAGCGGGTGGTGGCTGGAAGCTGTTCCCATCTATGGTGTGGGATGAGCTCGCTGGGGCTCAGCCTAACACCGGAGCATCCTGTCACACGTACACACTGGCCCACAGAGACCAAATTCCCCTCTGCCCGGGCTGGGGGTGGGGCTGTTGCAGCCAATCGGATTGTAACCAGGGTAGGGGCACGATCCTGTCCCTCCAAGGTCCTGCACAGGAATATCAGCTGCTGGGGTGATCTGGTGCTGGAGGCTCAGCAGGAGGCAGAGCTGTGAGTGATTGGCCACCCAAGGCTCCTTGTGACTGTACCAGCCTCTCCGGTGGGGGAGGGGGGCTGACAGGTAGCAATGGGCATCGCTTGCAGGGCCTGGGGCGGTTCTGGGGGCAGCCACTCGCGGGAGCTGTGAGATATTGTCAGCAAGTCGCAACCCCTCCTGCCTAGGATGGGGGTGGAGAGGGCTTGATTTGGGGGGGGAGACCCTGATGTCATGGTCACCCCACCCCCAGGCCTCAGACACTGGTCACAGACGGTGGGGTAGCACCCTGGGGTGCCTGGGGTGGGGCTACGCTTGAGGAGGCAATGCCTGTAGCAACCCCCGCCCCCTGCTTCAGCCTGTGGCCCCCCGACCTCCAACACAGGCAGGGCCGAACAACAGAGGGACTGCCTGGACTAAGGGGACCCCAGGACTCAGACATGGCCCCTAGCTGGCGCTGGGTGAGGGGGTCCGGGGGGGGCCCGGGGGATCCCAACGGGGGGGTGATGCCTGGGGCACATCCCCCCTGGGGGGGGGAAGCTGCATTGTCATACCCCATTCCTTCCAGATTATGGGGGTGTCTTGGGGGCACTAATGTTGTATTCTGCCTCAGCTTCCAAAGGAAAGCGCTATACAGACTCCCTGGGACCCCAGCCAGCAACCTCCTGTGGGAGGAGAGATTGCGTGACCAGACGGTATGGGGGAGACGGGGGGCAGGATTGGAGGGCTGTGGGCTCAGCTGTACTGGGTGTGGGGGGGTGTCAGAAGGCTGGGAGGAGGTGGGGGTCAGGCTGCGGGGGGCAGGGGGGCTAGTAGGAGACAGGGGCCAGTCTACAGGGAGATGGGGAAGGGGGAGGTGAGTGGAGACAGGGGGCTGTCTATGGGGAGGTATAGTTGGGCAGCAGGGGGGTGAGTGTTTCCAGTGGGGGGGTTGGATGCAGACAGCCAGTCTCTGAAGTTTGGGGGGCATATAGGGGGGCCATTTGGGCAAGGAACCCCACCGGGATGGGGGTGCTGAATGGGGGTCCCCTCCCAGAAGCACTTACTGCCATTGGGCCCCTCACCCTGACTCCCTGTGAAGTGTGTGTGTGGGGGGCTCCAACTCACTGGGTTTGCTGTTCCCCCCACAGGAGAAGCTGCTTTGTCAGGAGTCGGGGGCCTCAGGGCCAAGGGGGCGACTCCCCCTAAGGTGAGGAGCCCCAGCAACCATGGAGGGGCTGGGGGAGTTTGGGGGGGGATGAGGAGGACCAGGGCTCTGGAGCTGGGGGGCCAGGACCTGGGAGGGCCTCTGGGGGAAGGGGTCTTTGGGGAGCGGGGGGGGAGGGGTCTGTGGGGGGAGAGGACATGGGGACAGGGCAAGGGCGGTGTCTGGAAGGGTATGGGTCCAGGGGGGCAGGCCAGAGGAAGGTCTGTGTGTCTGGGGGGTGCATGGGGGTTCCCCCCAGGCCCCCATCTTATGCTGCCCCCCGTCTCCCCAGGCTGCGGCTGGCCGGGCAGCTGTTCTGGGCCCTGGCCAAGGCCCTGTTCTTGGCCCTGCTGGGCCCCCTGGTGCTGGGTCCCCTCTGTGCCCTGCTGTCACGCCAGCCCTGCCCCCCGCCCGCCGGACCCTGGCTCTACATGCGCCCCAAGGAGATGCGGCCCCCCTGAGCCATGCGGGGCTCAACGACAACTGCTAATAAACAAATAAACCACAGGAACTTGTCTCTGGGGTCATTTCCCCACCACCCAGCCCCCCAGATCAGACTCATGGGCCATCCATCCTGGGACCCCCCGAGCTCCCAGATCAGACCCATGGACCAGCCTGGTCTCCCCCTCCTCCCTTGCTACCACCTCTGATGGGCCCATCTAGCCTGGTATCTGGCCCCTCTCCCACCCCAGCCAGTTCAGTGGCTCAACACCCTGCCAGCCCAGGGGGGCGGGGGGAAGTGGGTCAGGACATGGGGGCTGGTTCCCTGAATCCCAGGGAGCTGGGGCTCTTCTCTTGCCAAAGCGGCAGCTGCTGTTCAGAATCCCTCCCCCCCAGGAGGCAGATAAGCTGGTGTCAGGCTCCACAGCCCAGCAGCGAGGAGTTCCACAGGGACCATGGGATGAATTAGCAGCGCCACCTAGTGGTGCTGAAGGGATCTGCCTTTTAGTGAGGGGCAGAGCTAGGGAATCACATTCCCTTGGAAGGAACAATTGGGCTCTTGGGGCTGGAGTAATTAATAATTGATAATTAATAACCCCTAATTCAGAAAACTGTCCCCCTGGTCTCCAAGCCCCTACCAGTGATGAACTAACTGGCCCTCACAGCCAGGCTGCATTCGCGAGGCCATTATCCACGTTGTGTGGATGGAGAAACTGAGGCACAGAGCACACACTGATTAGAGCCAGGACTAGAACCCAGGAGTCCTGACTCCCAGCAATGCCCCTCCCCAAACATGACCCCACTCCCACAGCTGAGAGTGGAACCCAGGAATTCTGGTTCCCAACCTCACCCCTAGCTCTAACCACTAGACCTCACTCCCCTCCCCTCCCAGAGCCAGGAATAGAACCCAGGAGTCCTGGCTCCCAGCCCCGCACTCCCTGTAATTAATAATCCCCACCGGGCCCACAGGACTCATTAAATCCTTAAAAAACAATTAAGTCGTTAACTGGCAGGAAACCCTCCCCTGGACCATCTCTGGTGGGACCCACATTCCCCCCCCCCGCCACCGTGCGTGCCCCACAGACCGGCCCTGGGGGTGTGGGAGCTGGCTAGGAGCTGGGAGGGCGTGGCGGAGGAGGGGCCCCAGGGGTCACGTGCTGCTCAGCTGGGGAAGGGGAAGTGGGGCTGGCGCAGTGGGGCAGGCAAAGAGGGCAGGTCCGGGCGCTCCCGGGACGTGGCGCTCCCCCGTGTCAGGTAACCCCCGGCCCCGGCCCCGGCCCCGGCCGCCCCAGAACAAGCCCAACCGCAGCTGGGCTGGACCCCCTCCAGCTTCTAGCTCCGGCGAACGACCCCACGCCCACCCCAGAGGCGGCTGCATCTCCGCGCCGGGCCCGGGGAGCCTGTATAAACAGCCCCCGTGCCCCACCCCAGCGGCAGCTGCATCTCCGCCCCGGGCCGGGTCCCAGGGCTCAGGCCACTGCAAGGTATCTGCTGGGTAGCCCCCAGGGACCCCAGAATCCAGCCCCCCCCATCCAGCCCCACAGCGACAAAGGCTCTATGTGTTTATGTGGGGTCAGCGCAAGGGGAAGGAGCCAGCTTGGCAGCCCCCAGAAACCGACTTTGTACAGCAGCAAGGAGAGACACCCCCCCCCCCCCCCCGCAAAAACCCCGCCTGCTGTGGAAGGACCCCACTGTGGGGGACAAAGCCCTGGAGCTGTGACCAGTTCAGCTCCACATCATTTTGGGGAAGAAGACCTTGGGGGCGGGGGGATGATCCAAGAATCGAATTGGGAGCCAGGACTCCTGGGTTCTGTCCCCAGCTCTGGGAGGGGTGTAGGGGCTAGTGGTTTGAGCAGAGGGGGGTGTCTGGGAGTCAGGACTCCTGGGTTCTGTCCCCAGCTCTGGGAGGGGAGTGGGGGCTAGTGGTTCGAGCAGGGGTGTCTGGGAGTCAGGACTCCTGGGTTCTGTCCCCAGCTCTGGGAGGGGTGTAGGGGCTAGTGGTTTGAGCAGGGGTGTCTGAGAGTCAGGACTCCTGGGTTCTGTCCCCAGCTCTGGGGTGGGGCACGGGTCCCCAAATAAACAGCCCCCCCTGCCCAGCGCTGAGATGCAACTGCCTCTGGGGCGGGGTGCAGAATGGGATCACCCGCACTGGCTGAATGCCGGGCCCTGCCTGTGGCCTGCGTTGCTCTGTCCGGTCCCCTCCCCCCGAGCCATTGGCACAGAAAGAGGAATTGGTCCGAGGAACTCGGGGTTGGGACTGGAGTGTGTGTGCTGGAACAGGGCCGCCCCCCCGTGCCTTCGGTTTGTGATACCGGCCCCTGGCGCGTCATCCCCGGAAGGACGTCGGCCCCACCAAGGGGCCCGGGGACAAGCCACACAAATGATTCAGGGCTGGAGGGGTGGGGGAGGGGGGGCAACGAGCCCCGGCCTGAGCTCCCCTCTGATTCTGGACACCTCCAGTTTGGAAGCCCCCTTCCCGGAGCCCAAGTCATGGACTAGCCGGGCACCCCTGGCTCACCCAGACATCAGTGGATGTGAGGAGCAGCTGGTGCATAGAACCCAGGAGTCCTGGCTCCCAGCCCTGCCCCTGGCTCTCACACACCAGATCCCACTCCCCTCCCAGCCCCAGGAGTCCTGGGTCCCAGCTTCCCATCTAACCACTAGGCCCTCCCACCCCTCCAAGAGACCCCCAGAGTCCTGGTTCCCAGCCTCTGCCTTGCTTTGACCCACCAGCCCCTCATCCCTGGCTGGGGATGCCCTGGTGGGAATTGATTGTTTTTGTAGGGCAGGGGTGGGCAAACTACGACCCGGGGGCCACATCTGGCCCTTCAGAAGTTTTAATCTGGCCCTTGAGCTCCCGCCGGGGAGCACGGTCCGGTTTTTGCCCCGCTCTGAGCATGCTGTGGCTCCGCACGGCTCCCGGAAGCAGCGGCATGTCCCCTCGCTGGCCCCTATGTGTAGAGGCAGCCACGGGGCCCTATATGCTGCCCCGCCCCAAGCGCCGGCTCTGCAGCTTCCATTGGCCAGGAACTGCAGCCAATGGGAGCTGCAGAGGCATCACCTGTGGACGGGGCAGTGCGTAGAGCCGCCTGGCTGACCCTCCGCATAGGAGCCAGATGAGGGGAAACGCCGCTGCTTCTGGGAGCTGTTTGAGGTAAGCGCCACCCGGAGCCTGCACCCCTGACCCCCTCCTGCACCCCAACCCCCTGCCCTAGCCCTGATCCCCCTCCTGCCCTCTGAGCCTCTTGGTCCCAGCCCAGAGGACCCTCTTGCACCCCAACCTCTCATCCCCAGCCCCACCCCATCACCTGCACCTCCAGCTGGAGCTCTCACCCCCCTACACCCCAACCCCCTGCCCCAGTCCAGAGCCCCCTCCCACAACTTGAACTCCTCATTTCTGGCCCCACCTCAGAGCCCTCACCCTCTCACCCCCCCCAATTTCATGAGCCTTCATGGCCCCCCCATACAATTTCCATACCCAGATGTGGGCCTCAGGCCAAAAAATTTTCCCACCCCTGTTGCAGGGCCTACATGCGTGTGTGACTCGTGTGCGCCTCACGGTGGTACCTGTGTGCATTGCAGGGGCTGTTCCCCTCAGATCCTGCTTGGTGTCTTCCCCCCTCCCCAGGATGCTGCCCCTCTTCCTCCTGGCCGTGGCCCTGCCCCATGTGGCTGGAGGCGGCATCTCCTGCTATGATGATGCCGGGCAGCCCGTGGACTGGTAAGTTCCCCCCTTCCCCTATGTCAGCCCCCCCCAGCCCGTGTGACTTGTTCACCCCATAAAGGGACAGCGTGTGCCCCTGGGGCCCCGGAGTGGGGCTTAAATGAGGCGGGGGTGTCCCTGGTTCTCATAGCACATCTTTCCCCCCACACACCCCGAGCCACAGGCTGGGTGAGCGGGTATCGCAGTGAGCCATGGCATCCGTGCCAGGATACCCTTGCTCCTGGCATCAGGGGGAGGCACTGGGGCTCCCTGTGTATGGCTCCCCCACCTCCTAGGCAGGGTCTGGCCCCAAAGGGTTAAAAGGGTCTGGTTTCCCCCCAGGTTCCTGGCCTATAAGCTGCCCTGGCCCCGGCACAGCCCCCCGGCCGAAGGCATGCGCTACATGTACCAGGATGCCCGCTCTGGCGGCTGGGTGCCCGGCCGCACCCTCATGAACAGCACCCAGAGCGCCGTGGGCAGGACCCTACTGCAGCTCTACCAGGGGGCAAACAGGAGGGTGAGTTGGCAGGAGGGGGACAACTGGAGCCGGGCTGCTGGGGGAGGGACAGTGAGGGGAGGGAGGAGCTGGGGATAAGCTGGAACAGACTAGGGGGCAGGGGAGGTGGAGCTGGGCAAAGGGGTGGGGAGGCTGTGTGCGGGGAGATGGGGCAGCCGGAGGGCAGAGCAGGGGCAGGGCAATGGGGGAGGCAGAAACTGGGGAGGGGGAAGTAGGTGAGAAGCTGGGGAAAGAAGGGGGCACTGAGGGTACGGGCAGGAGAGGGAGCAATGGCTGGGGGAGGGGCAGTGCTGGGGGAAGAGACAGTGGGGCAGGAGAGTGGGCAGTGGGGGGCAGTGGGCAGAGGGGCGGGGGAGGGGCAGTGGGGGGCACTGGGGCAGGGGAGTGGGCAGAGGGGTGGGGAAGGGGCAGTGGGGGGCACTGGGGCAGGGAAGTGGGGAGAGGGGTGGGGGGGCAGGGGGCAGCGGGGCAGGGTCTCCCAGCACTCAGCCCCCATTTCTGTTGCAGACGGAGGACACGGCCTATGTCCTGTACAACGACCAGCCCCCAAAGAACGTCCCCTCCTCCACCAGCCCCAGGGGGCACACCAAGGGTAACCCCCTCTGCCCCCCGCCACGACCAGCCTGAGCCCAGCCGCCCCCAGGGGGGCCCAGAGCAGCTCTGGGCAGCACCTCCCCATGCTGGGGAGGCAGGGAGTCTGCCCCAAAGGAGGGAGAGAGACAAGGGACTGCCCCAGACAGCGACCCTGGCTCCCAGAGGGGAGTGGGGGCTGGTGGTTAGAGCGGGGTGTGAGGGGGGTCTGGGAGCCAGGACTCCTGGGTTCTTTCCCCAGCTCCAGGAGGGGAGTGGGGTCTAGTGTTTAGAGCTGAGGAGGGGGGAGGCTGGGAGCCAGGACTTCTGGGTTCTCTCCCTGGCCATCTGGACCCTGACTCTCCTCCCTTGTGTCCCCGTCTCCCAGGCGTGGTCCTGCTGGACAGAGCCCAGGGCTTCTGGCTGCTGCACAGCACCCCCCACTACCCGCCCCCTGTGACGGAGACCTACGCCTGGCCCCACAGCGGCCTGCACAACGGCCAGTCCTTCCTGTGCGTCACCTTCCCCTATGCCCAGTTCAAGGAGATCGGTAGGTGCTCCATCTGCCGGACGCCTGGGTCCTCTCCCAGCCCGGGGTGGGGAGTGGGGTCTAGTGGTTAGAGCAGGGGCTGGGAGCCGGGACTCTTGGGTTCTATCCTGGATTTGAGCGGGAAGTAGGGGTCTAGTGGCTATAGCCGCAGGGGAGCGGGGAGCGGGGGGGGCCAGGACTCCTGGGTTCTATCCCAGCTCTGTCAGGGGAGTGGGGTCTAGTAGTGGCTACAGCTGCAGGGGAGGGGAGAGCCAGGACTCCTGGGTTCTATCCCAGCTCTGGGGACTGACTCTGTGTCTAACCTAGTGAGGGTGCAGCCTAGTCGTGGCAGAGTGACCCCCGCCCCTGTGTGCCCCCCCACCCCCCATGGCTCAGCGGGGCTCAGTCTCCATGGCTTGTTGCTGGGGCAGAGTCTGTGATGGGGGCACCTGGGGCTGGGCTGAGCCCTGGCCAACCCGTTTCACCCGGGGAGGGGGGGCTGCAGGTCTTGTCCTGCTGCCCCCCAACTCCCCCTCCCCCAACTCGCTCTAGGCACCCAGCTGAGGTTCGACGACCCCGCGGTGTTCGATGCCCGGGTGCAGGGGGCCTTTGCCCAGGCCCTGCCCGACCTGCACCTGGCCTCCGAGATGCAGCATGTGCGGGAGCCCCCCTGGAACCGCAGCGTGGCCCTGACCTCGCTGGGGGGGCGTCGCTTCCTGAGCCTGGCCAAGTTCCGGCTCTTCCACGACGGTGAGAACAGGGGCGGGGGGAGCCGTGTTATGGGGGGGGGGAGTATCTGGGGACTGGCAGGTCCCAGACCCACACTCATGCATGGGGGGGGATAAACCCCAACTCCCCCCATGGCCTTATAACCGCCCCAAGTGGTGCTACCCCCCCAACACCTCGGCTGCCCCAGATCTCTACTCCAGCTGGCTCCCCCTGGGGTCTTCTACCCCCCAACCTTCCATCTTCCCTCTGATGTGTTCCCCCCAGGTCAGCCCCACAGTGCCTCTGATTCCCCGCCCCCATTTCCCCTCCCTCCAGCTTGCTAACCCCTCCCCTGCTCTTTGCCCCCTAGATCTCTACTCCGGCTGGGTGGCCCAGGCACTCTCCAGTGACCTCTACGTCCAGTTCTGGCCCAACTCGCGGGGTGTCCTGCCCTCCAACTGCTCGGGGCCCTACCGGGTCTATAACATCGAGGAGCTGGGCTTCCCGGCCCCGGGGCCCGACTTCCCAGCCACTGTCGACCACTCCAAGTGGTGCGTGAGCACCGAGAGCACACCCGGCTGGGCCTGCGTGGGCGACATGAACCGCAACCTGGAGGAGGAGCAGCGGGGAGGGGGGACCCTGTGCCAGCAGGATCCGGCCGTCTGGAAATCCTATTATGCCCTGGTGCAGAAGTATAGCAAGTGCTAGGAGGGGAGCGGAGTCTAGTGGGTAGAGCCGGGATGGGGAGTCAGGAGTCCTGGGTTCTCTGCCCTGGTGACTCTCTGGGGGACCTTGAGCACTTCATTTGCTGGTTCAGTGCCTCAGTTTCCCCATCAGTGATGTAGGGACAATTGCACTTACCTACCTCTCTGGGGCTGTGGGGCAGAGTGGATTCAATGGTGTCTGCAAAGCTGGGGGGGTCTCCATGCCCCTGTATAAATGCAGCCACTGCACTGGTTCTTTCAATAATAATCTCCTGATTTCTAAGTCAGTCTTGCAATTTTCTTGGCCCGACACCTGATGGTGGTGCTCTGGGGGCAGCCAGAACTGGGGCAGGGGGACATCCCTTCAATAACCTGGGGGTGCTAGAGGAGAGAGGTCAGTGCCAACCAGGGACAGAGGACATCTGGGTTCAACTCTCTGCGCTGCCTTCCTGCCTCAGTTTCCCCAAGGGAATAGCCCTTCCTTACAGCGGGGTGTGTGTGAGGATGGATGTCGTACAGGCCAGGAGCTGCCCAGACACTAGGATGACTTGGCTGTGATCAGTGAGTCCCCGGCCCAGCTAGGGGAGGAGTTTAGGGGGTCCCACTCTGCCCCAAGAGGCAATCAGGGCAGGGTCGGGGGGGAAGGAGGGTTCCCAGGGTCACCTGCAGGCTGCTGCTGTAGAAAGTTTCAGCACCAGTGAGGCTGGGGGGCCCAGTCATGGGTCCTGATACTAGCCAGGATCCGCTGGGGAGGGCAAATCTCTGCTTTGGTTAACAGTGAAGGTGGCGGGGGGGCTGTTGACATTGACCGGACCCCTGAGGTAGATTCCCATCCCCATACATCCCCCAGCTATCTGTCCATCCCCAGGCCCAACTCTGCAGTGCCTGGCGCTGGGTGCTTGCCTGTTGCTGGGCTGCGTGCCTCAGTTTCCCTCCCCTGGCTTCCCCATCCCAGTGCCCTGCCCTCAGTCAGTGTCTATTTAGTGTTAATGTTGTTCTCCCTGGGGAGGGGAGGTTGGAGCATCCCTCACGCCCCCCCCAGCCCCGGGTAAGCAGGGGGTCGGAGTGGAGCCTGGGGTGCGACAAGGGAGTGGGCCCAGGGCAGGTTATTCCATCAGTGCCCACGAGGGGGAGTGTTGTACCTTCCTCTGCAACCCCTCGTCCTCGCCACTGCGGGAGGTGGGATGCCAGGGTAGATGGGCCCATGGGTCTGATCTGGGGTGGATCTCTTCCGACCAGCCGGCTGGTTTGTCCCCAGTAGCCCCACCGGGAGTGGCCCGGGCTTGCAGGGCAGCCGAACGCTCCAGTCACTATGGCCGGCGTTCGGGGTGGCTCTGGGCGTGTCTGTCAGTGGGGTGAGGGCGTGTATGGGGATTGTGGGGTGTGTTGCCTACAAGCTGTGTGTATCTGTGGCGGAGTGCATGGGACTCTGTGTTGGTGTTGCAGGGTGTGGGGGTTGCGGTGTGTGTGTTGGACTGCGGAGGCTGTTGCAGGCTGTGTGCAGTGTGTGTGTTTGGGGTGGGGTGAGGGGGGTCCCCAATGGAGTGTGTGTGTCTTGGGCTGTTTGGTGGGAGTGTTGTGGGGAGTGTGGGTGTTGTGGGGGGGGGCATCGTGTCTTTACAATCTCTGCCAGCAGAGGGCGCCCTGTGCTCCCGTCTCTCCTCGCCCCCCCCCCCGCCCCGCGCCCAAGCTGCTGCCTTGAGATCTGCTGTCGAAGGTCCCGTTTGGCTTCCCGTGTTTTGGTAGGGCCTACTCTTCCCCCAAGGCTCAACAGGGGTCCTTGGCGGGGGCGCAGCGGTGTCATCATCCCTGCCTAGTCCGTGTCAGGCTGAGCCTGCAGCCCCCCCCTGACCTGTGTCTTCCCCCCCTCCATCGGGCCATGGGGCGGATCCAGCCCCACCTGCCATGGGAGGGTGGGGGTGTAACTCGGGATGCAGGTGAAACCAGGCTGGGCTGCCCACTGGGCCCTGCTAGTACCCCCAGAGGAGGGGTGTGATCTCACTGCTCCCCTGCTATAAGCCACTGACACCCCAACAAGAGTGGGGGGGCTCTGCCCGCCTCCTGCAGCCTGGGACAGGGGGCAATCGCCGCCTGTCTGCCCCACGCCTCAGTCAGAGGCTGGGCAAAGGGCCCCGGCCCCAACCTCTAGGGCAGGAAACAGCAGCACCAGAGGCTTTGGGGGTGGGGGTGGAGAACTCTGGGACCCCTGGGGCTGGAGAAGGGGGGCTGGGACAGACTCTGGCCTGTCAGAGGTGGCAGAGTCCAGATCCCGGCCAGGTCACGGGGCAGAAATGAGTTTGCTGGATGGTGCCCAAAGGTCCTAGGGGGCAGGTGCCCCCGTCACAGAACCGCCAGCTGGACCGAGACCCCCCCCCCCGCCCCAGCCCCCTGGCAGGGGGAAATGGGACTGTCTGTGTTACCTAAGAGCCCAGGGGGCTGCAGGTCAGGGTTGAGGGGCACCTGCAGAAGTGGGGGGGTGGGCAGCCCAGGGCTGGGTTAGCAGGGGGTTGCAGGTCGGGAATGAGGGACACCGGCAGAGCTACAGCAGTTCGCGCCCCCCCACCCCCCCACGGATGGGGAAGGTTCTGCCAGCGGCCCCCCAGGGCTGCTACCTCCCCCCACCCTTCAGAACCTTCCCCATCCTAGGCTGCAGCCAAGGGGGCACAGACTTCTGGCCCCGGCCCCTGGCTCCGGCCCCGCCTCTGGGGGTGGGAGCTTGGGCTGGGATTCTAGGAACTGGCCAGAGCCTCATGGGGAGGGAAGAGACGCCCTACCCTCGCCCCCCCGCTTACTGCTAGACCTTCCCTCCCAGGGAAGGAACCCAGGAGTCCTGCCTCCCACCCCCTTCTCCATCCCCTCCCCTCCCAAGGAACCCAGGAGTTCTGCCTCCCAATCCCCTTCCCTGCCCAAGCTGCATACGCAGGTAATGGGGGGGGGGGCGGGCACTATAAATAGGCAGCCTGGGAACATGATGTCCCAGCTGGGAGCCGCATTACACAACTCGCCTGCCCTGACCCAGCTGGCGCCAGGGGGGTGGGGGTGGGGGCGCAACCCAGCTTCCTTCCCCTTCAGTCCCACCCCCTTTCTAACCACTAGGCCCCTTCCTCCAGATCCAGGGATAGAACTTCAGTCCAAGCCCCCCCTGATATAACCACTAGCCCCCACTCCCCTGCTAGAGCTGGGAACAGAACCCAGGAGTCCTGGCTCCCAGCCACCCCCCCACCCCCGCTCTAACCACCAGCCCCACTCCCCAGGTCCCATGAGCGCTTCCCTGATGGGCACCTTCCCAAACCATCCCCTCCCTGGCCAAGCACCGCCAGCCATGGTGGGTGGGGGCTGGGCTGGCTCCGATACTTCCCAGCTCAGCCCAGCCACTGGCCCATTGAGCCCCCTGGAAGAAAGCCCACCCCCACCCATCCTATGAGGAGCCAGCTGCACCCCCTGCTGGAAGGAGAGGGAATTGCTGTGCCATGGATCATAGATCCCTCTACTGCTGATGGCTGTGGGGGATTCTCCAGCAGCTGAGCTGCCTGGGGCCTGTGATCTCAGAGCAGGGGGTCTGAATTCTCCCCTCACTGCTGAGCCCAAGTACAAGAAGGGCACAGAGCGGTAGATACCCGCTGTTTGTAACAGTGCAGGGAGCCAGGATGCCTGGGTTCTATCCCCAGTTTGGGGAGGGCAGAGTCTAGGGCACAGTTGGGCAAACTACGGCCTGGGGGCCACATCCGGCCCTCCCGACGTTTTAATCCGGCCCTCGAGCTCCAGCCAGGGAGCGGGGTTGGGGGTTTGCGCTGCACGGCTCCCGGAAGCAGCGGCATGTCCCCGCTCTGGCTCCTACGCATAGGGGCAGCCAGGGGGCTCCGCACGCTGCCCCTATCCCAAGCGTGGCCCCCACAGCTCCCATTGGCTGGGTTCATTAACATCTGGAGGAGAGATCCCCCCATCATGCCGTGTTTCCCTGCTTTTCTGGTCCCAGAGTTCCCTGCGGTTCTTGCCTTGGAAGCGCCGTTCTCCATTCTGGATGCTCCTGGAGATGCCTCCTTGTCCCCTCCTCGATGCAAATGAGGCCAGGGGAGTTTCCTTAATCCCGTCCCCCTTATCCTAGGGGTTTAGGGGGGTCTCCCACGGCCTTGGCACTGCTTTTTGTCAGTCTTTCTTCTGATCGGTTTTGGTTCAAGCAGAGGCGGGGGGGGGGTGAGGGGAAGGTCTTTTGTGAGTCAAGACGGGCTGAGTCCTGCGCCCTGGTTCCCCAAGAACACAGAGCTGCAAGGTAACAAGCCCCCACCCCGCCCGCCAGGGGTCCTCCTGCGGCCTTGGCTGGTCCCGCCTGATTATGTAACTGGATCCAGGCCCCCAGGCTGAGCAGCTGGGCCGGGGCCAGGCCCTTACATAACAGTCTCCGGCTTGCGTAACCTCCTTCCCCGCCCCCTGGATCCCTTTCCTCCGGGCCTGGGTGTGGGGCCCGCTGGGGGGGAGGGGGCAGCATGTGTGCAGATCAGGCCCCTGGGGTCACCGCTCTGTGCCTCTCTCCCAGCCTGACCCCTTGATGTCACCTAGGGGGTGCATCTCCTCCCCTACCCCCCCATGGGGCTGCTGCCTGCCCCCAGATTGGAGCCAGTGCCCCTTAGAGGAGAAAGACCCCATGTGCCATTCCCTGCCCCCTCAGCTAGCCAGTCCCTCCCCTCAAGTGTGTCCTGATGCCGGTTGTTGAGAGACCACAGTATAACACACACACACAGAGCAAAGATCGAGATATGGGACTCACAGACACACCCCTCCCAGACTCCCAAAATGGGGCAAAGGGCCAGGTGCCAAAATACAGTGCAGGACAAACACTCCCCCTCTATGCACTCACACACACTCTGCCCACTCACCACTTGCCGCAGCTCGGGCAAAGGGCTTGTGCTAAACTCACGAGCTGCACAAACCCACCCCTCGCACTGCACACAAACACCTGACTCCTGCACACCACCACCAACACGCGAACACACACACAATGTCTCACACGCCCCCCTGCACTCCCAATGCACAACACTCAGAATACCCTCAGACCTCGTAAACTGTGTCACTCCCACATACAAAGATACCCTCGGCAACAAACACACTGTCCAGCCACTCCCTCCAACACCCACACCCTGTACACAGCTCACACACACACACACTCACTCACACCCCCTCCCCTGTACGCTGTATACTTCCACATAAACCCACACTTCCCTTACACACACACACACAGCCCTCATACACCCTGGCCCACTCAATGGACACACATGCTGCCCATAC